GAGAGCCTTTTCCTTGTGTCAGTGCTTTCGCTTGTAAAGCGGCTCCTAAAGCAACAATTTGATCAGGATCACAATCAACAAGAGGAGACTTTCCAAAAAAGGCTGTAACCGCTCGACGAATTAAAGGCATACGCGTTGCGCCCCCCACAAGGACAACACCTTTTATATCTTTCGGAGAGACTTTAGCATCCCGAAAAACTCGCCGACAGACCTCTAAAGTTTTTTCCACAAAAGGACGTGCACACACTTCCAATTGATGACGATTCAAAAAACCATCTTTAAAAATCACACGCTCTGCTTGGGAAAGATCTTCTTTCAAAGCACGGATTTCTCTTATAGAGGTCGCCCCTAACTTCTGCTTTTCCATAACTTCTTTCAAGAACGCTTTATCAATATCGTCTCCTCCTAGGGCTGTATCTCCCCCTGTTGCGAGCACCTGAAAAATCCCTTGATGCAATCGCAAAAGAGTAAAATCAAAGGTTCCGCCTCCAAGATCATAAAATGCGTAAACACCTTCTGCACCCGTATTCAGACCATAAGCATAGGCAGCTGCAGTGGGCTCATTAATCAAGCGCAATACGTCAAGCCCCGCTAAAGTTGCTGCTTCACGCGTTGCCACACGCGCTGCTTCGTCAAAATATGCAGGAACTGTAATCACCGCCCTTTTTACAGGGCATCCTAAATCTTCTTCCGCACGTTTCTTTAAGGATTTCAGAATTTCCGAAGATACTTCTGCAGGTGTCACTGTTCGCTCTACCCCTACATTTAAGCGCACAGAGTGATCATTCTCATCAAGGGGGGTGGCGATATGAGATTCAAAACCATAATTTCGAGGGAGTGAAGCAAAGTTCATCCCCATCAAACGCTTAATTGAATGAAGCGCCTTTGGATCCTGATCTGCTTCGTGACCTACACGAGACCCCGTCTCAGAAGAATAGGACACAACAGAAGGTTCAAAGGATCGCCCTTCATGATCCAACAAAATTTTTGGATCAGAATCCTGACAAAATGCTACCAAAGAATTGGTGGTTCCTAAATCAATTCCAACCGCAAAAGTATCTTCATTATCAGATGCTTTTGTCTTCTGTTGGCCGGGTTCAGAAATTTGTAACAACACGGTTCTCCTCCCCTTCAAAAATTTTCTCTTCAATTTGAGCAAGGTATTTAATGGCGTAACTCAATGCTGATACCTGCTGTGCAAGTTCTATCAAATCCTTCTGTTTTTTTCCGAATATGGCTGCCAAAATCCCTTCTGTCTCTTGCACCCTTCTTTTAGCTTCTTGCACAAGGGATTCCAGAGCTTCCAAGGTCTCTGCTGATGCTAATTTCTCTCGATCTTCAAGGGACCGCTGAAGAACAGCCATATCTTGAATTGTTTCAGTCGCCTCCCCCCCCCGCAACACAAGCAAATGTTGGGCTCGTAAAAGTGGATCTAGAAGAGTTTGATAGGCTCGATTTAAATCCGAAGAGATTTGGAAATCTCCTTGCTGTTGATCTGGATGAGCAGAACGAATACGTTCTAGATAGTTTTGCTCCAACACCTCCAAATCTAGGTCAAACCGCTCAGGAAGCTTCAATAAAGAAAAATAACTGTTTAGCTCTTTAGACATGGAATGATTCTCCACATCCACATCGGCCTTTCTCATTGGGGTTTTTAAAAGAGAAACCAGATTCTAGAGCACTCTCTTCATAATCCATTTGTGTCCCGAGAACAAACATCACGGCTTTAGGGTCTATGAATAGATTAACTCCCTTCTCATTCACCTCTTCGTCAAAGTCTCTCTTTTGATCTGCATACTCCATCGCATAAGAAAGTCCAGAGCATCCCCGGGTTTTGACAAAAATACGGATCCCTGCCGTT